GGGCGGAATGATAGCAACACACACTTTGAGTCTGCGGCGTGTCAAAAACCACTAAGTGTTGTAACGTTATCCGGCAAAATGGTCCAACCTTGTTTCCATATTTGTTGGTGCTCCCACTCATATTTTCCAATTTTATTATCTAAAATATGTTACACTTGTCTCATAGCTTTTTTTTTTTGGTACTAAGTCTCGAGAGTGACTGGACTCTAGGCCTATCCTTCTCGTAGCTTTTCTTACAGCCATCTTTCGACATTTCCTGGCTTTTACTGATATCTTTGCTATAGTTTTGTTTTCATCTAACCAGGGTGGCAACCATTTCTTTGGCTGAATTAATGAGTAAGGCTTGTTTTGATTATTCAACATTATTGTTTCTAAACTTATCTCTATTGTTGCAGTAATGCTCTCATCGTTGGGGCAAAGACTTTTGAAGGTTATCAACACAATATATTCTATTCTCTCGTTTTTGTTTCCTTCAAAGGCATACTTAAACAAATCGCAGTGTTTCAAGAAAAACCTTATATGTCAATAGGTGACATGTAGATTGAAAAGAATGTAAAGATGAATTATACGACTTATCCTTCTTGTTTTCAACCCAGAGTGCTCAATCAAAGCCATGTGAGACCTCTGAAGCTAAGATGAAACACGTAATAGTTTGGAAAATGAACAACTTGGTCAATATACAAACTCATTGTGAACTAGCTCTGGGCATGTCAGTAAAGTTATCAGTTAAATATCATAAGTACAGTAATACTTGTAGTAAGAATTGGTGAGATTTCTAATATATGCAATACAAATTAAAATTTCAAACACATTACATGCTACTTGATCAGTATGCATCTGTTTCAACTTGATAAAAAACGTGAACTATGTAGATTCTCTAGATCTAGGTTCTAGCTATGATCTAACCTTTGAAAGCAGCATTTTCAGTTCTATACATCTGACTCGATGGTTCTGAGTTGGGCAAAGCAATTCTATTATAGTAGTCGGTGTCTGAGACGTGTTCTCCAACGTGACGAACGCCACCACTGTCAGCCTATTCCTTACAGCAAGGGTTTCATCATAGACTGATCGAATCACAAGAAACTATAGCGTATGTCAAAGATGTAATATAGTTTCAATCTTCATCTAGAGTACTCGTACCTGTGCTGTAATCGCTGCATGGAGTCAAGAGACTCATGAAGTTGTCGAATCTGCGACTCCAGATTGCTGATCTCCTCCCGCAGAGCTTCGTGCTTGGAAGGGAAAGACATCTGACACAGTTGGTCTATAACCAACTCGTCTCGAAGCACGTGACTTGCTTCCTATATTGAAAGGATTTAGTTACCAGGTTAAGTTATTGAATAGAGAAGTAAAGAACAAACAGAGTATATACGACATATCTACTGCACAATCCTTGTGTTCTATGGTCGTTTAAACGTAATTTGCAAATGAAAATGTTTTGTTAGGCTTACAACAGCTACTTTGGCATTTGAAATAACTGTAAATATACAAATAAAATATTATGTTGTTTAATCATCAAAATTAGCAAAAAGAGAATGTTTTAAGTCACGATACACATTAATAACGAGAAACCATAATTTATATTTTGGCAAATAATGATAGGCTGATTAATGTTTTCTTTTAGATGCACTAGAGATAACTTCTCGAAATCAGTAACTTAACAGAATTTTCTAATGCCCTTAGGTGCGGTTTAATAACGGGCTTATCAGAATTATATTATTGAAATATTAATTCTGAAGTTTCTTCATTTACAGCTAAACGAGAGAGGCATATGTCACAGATGGTGACGGATACGTTATTAAGGCTAACTTCAGTTCCAGAAAAAAACACAATACTTAAATTTGGTTTTAGGTGTTTCGAGGAAATAAAAGCTGGAGGGTTTGACTTGTTGAACCATTACCTGATAAACCCTAAATGTAAGTTTAGATTTATTGTAGAACTTAAGTGCTTATTAGACTAAGAGAATGAAATAAACCCCATATTAATTCATTGATAGAACATTAAGGATAGATTGTGGATAGTATATGTGAATCATAATGAGAAAATAACTAATTATTTAGCCTTACCTTTCACAAAATCATAGGTGTTAGAGAGAGAAAGGAATATTCATTCTTACCGAGATTTATATATGATGTAAAATTTAATTATTTTATTATTTATTTTAGCATTTCAATTCAGGAACACATATTTCACAGGATATATATACAGAAGTTTAAATATCTAGGTAAAGCAAAATAATGCATGGCAATTTCTCCATCTGTCTCTATTTCTATAAGACCAGCTGTTATTATATCAATTTCTCCATCTGTCTCTGTTCTATAAGACCAGCTGTTATTATATCAATTTCTCCATCTGT